ATTTTAAATGCGAGTTACATTTTATAATTGATTACAAATACTATAGTGGGTATTTAAGTGGTATTATATTATTTATAATCAATGATATTATTTAGTTCCCCATTCAAAATTCATACTTAAAATTTAAATTCATGAGTAGGTGGTACTTATTTTCTGGGAACAAAAAATTAATTTAAAAATTACAGTATAGAGGGTATATAATATATTAATATATTATATATAACACAAAGTTTAGTTTAATTTGAATAGGTTTTAAAATAAGGAAAATTGTATATAGTACATGATTATAAATATTAACATGGTGAATTGTAATGGGTTTTTAAAAAATAACTTACTTATTATTCGCATTAATTAATCAAATTTATTTCTAACCACTTAATTGGTGGAAAAATATATATAAACTTCCGATTATAAATATCATAATTTCTAATATTGTAAAAAAATATACTTCGGTTTTACTAGGTACCTATAATAAATTATATAGGTATCCTAATTGTTGAAATGTAATTTATATACGTAAACACAAAGTCTAGAAATGCCCACACTCGAAAATTGTCGTTTTTTTCATCATCAAAGTAAAAAAATGACACAATATCTTCTTTTGATGTGCACAAAAACAGAGTTAATAATAATTTTTGGTTCCTACAGCTACTACCTAGGTCCTAGGTACTTACACAGTTACATACGTATTTAGTTATGAACATTTAAAAAAAATTATACCTACATCAAACATTTTAAAATAATATACCTTTCTGTCATATTCGTAATTATGAATTGTAGACTATAACAAATTTTTGTTGTAGAAATCATAATAAATTGTGTTTGTGGTTTTTATCTGAATTTTTATTCCGTTTAATGTTTAGATACACACCAAAAACTTTAATATGTAAATATAATAAATTAATGATGATAGGTACCCGCGCGATTGTCATGCAATAAATGGACTTCTTTAAAAAAAAATAAGGATTATCAATTTATCATCCAGTGAAAATGATTATACCTTGTAAAGTAGGTACTAAACATTAACCCATTTTTTGTCATAAAAGAAGTTTAAAAAATATATATATTTCTTAAACTTGAAAATTTTTTATGTAGTTTCATATTAAGTCCTTTTCTATAAAATATATTTGTGTTTAGCTTTATCCAGTTTAAAATTACAATATTAAATGTGTTTTTTTTTTACAATAAAATATAATATTATATATATGTACTTTAGACTATGTTGAGTTTAAATTATTATAGAAATAATTATTGTTATGGAAAAAAACAAATATTTGTATCTTGATGTAAATAAATCAAAAAAATAATTTTTTTTTGAATTTATACCTATTAAGAAAAATATATGACTCACCTTTAACATTTAAATCATGTATTTACTAATTATTTTCGTATCATCATGTTAAATCACATGCGATTTTTTGAATATCTAACGATTTTATCTTTTTAAAATATTGTGGTTAGTACGTTAGTTGATTTAAAAATATCCATCTAACCTATTCAATTCTAACTCTGTATTTATATTTAGTAGGCAGGTACCTACTAGCTTTCATATTATCATGTTCTAAATACTTAACTWATATTGGTTAATGATTTAATTTAACAATTTTAATTAATAATAAATAAATGTAAGGTTATCTAATCAATATTATATAAAATATCATGTTTTTGTTCTCAATCACATATTGCAAATTACAATGAACAAAATCACTTAATAAAAAATGAATAAATTATATTCAATCTATTTATTTCACCAAATGTAAAACATAATATTATCGTTATTACATTAACAATGGTCGGTGGCTCAAAAAACACTATTCAAGGTAAGTTGTGTGGATTACTAAKCGAATTCGTTCGTTTACATTTTTTACAACATTAACAATAACATAATACCCACATTATTATTTAATATTTTGATATCTCTTTTCTGAATATTAAAATAATGATCGTATTAATATATGATACAAGCATAGTAAAATGTATTACAAAAATAAAAGTTTTTTCTGTCCACTTAAAATCTAAACGATAGAACAAATAATCCAATTGCTTTATTCCAGCGAAGAGATAAAGAAGAAAAAAACTAACGATTGGTCGTTGGTTTTTACATGGACAATCACAAAATATTATACTATTTTTTTTTGTGGGGAGGCATTCACTGGTCAGATAATAATATTTAAAACGATATTTAACTGCAAACGAGAATACGAAAGCGTGAACGGGGATCGCAAATATCTCTCGAGGGGAATTCCAAATGGAAATTCGAAAAGTTTCCTGTCAGATTTTCAATGTGAGAACGGTTCTCAAATGGCTAAAGTTTGGACCATAAAAACAGTCGTACGCCTATGCAACGTTTATAGGAATTTTCACGAATAGGACCGCTATTGACTATTTATCACCTCAACACTCTCACTGTATTGCTGTACCTATATAATGTATAGTAGGTATCGATACTTTTAAACTATACGAGTGTGACCAAGTGAAAAAATGTACAAGTATTATATTGGTATACTACAGAAAACTCATCATACAACTATACAAGACATACAAAATATATACAACTACGAACGCGTCGTACCTACGTTTTATTTAATTACTGTTATATTCATTCCCTCCACCCCTCCCCTACTCATAAATCATAATATACTGGATTTTGATTTCCGTATTTCATAATTACGACTGTAACCTATATAATAGCTAATAATTGGTAATTTGTAATAAATAATTTTAAATTAGAAACCATTCAGTGGTGTTTGATCTATATATTTTTATATTTTACCAATATATTAAAATTTCCATATCGTAAAAAAAAAAAATGGTCAACACATAATAGGTATAGGTATGTACAATATTACAATTTACAACATATATCCTGCAACTTCTCATTCGATAGTTATTATTCATATGTTGGTACCCATCGAGGTTGCTTAATATATGCTCAGTCTGTAATTCTGTATATACTTTGGTAGGTACTGAGATACCTACCTATACATAATGAAATAATGTGTATATCTTTAAAGATTAACCAWAGTAAATATTTAAAATACACAGTAAAAATGATTATGGGGAACCTATCTGGCTATCTATATATTAGCACATTATTACTAGTAGGTACCTATACTGGGGGCCTCAGGTATCAAATAATAACTCTTATTTACTCGAGTAATTTTACAGGYCATTTGCAAATAATTTTAGTTTAAATTTCGAATTTTTTATTTAAAAATGGATTTGGTAAAWATATTTGYTTAATATATAGCAGGTTTGTTTCTATATATAAGTATATACCTATATAAACATAGTCATGAATAGTAACTTATAATTTATAAATTATGACAGTATTCAACAATAGTTTAACAGCCAAGGCCAACTATGAATTTGAAGACTTCAAAGTGTAGTAAGTTAATTGAACTTGGTACCTAGCTACATACTTATAAAAATTAGTAGGTAGAACTACCTACAATTACTTCGAAAATCCTTATAAGCTTTCCTTTTCTGCAATTGCATTTCTTAAAATAATAAATATGGTGTATTAAAGAAGAAAGTTTTACAATAAGCTATAACCACCCTTAAYCCTTGTAATTTGAAAATATATTGGAAACTTTATTGATGGGGAGTTAACTCTGAATGTTAATAATATTTCAATATAAAATCGAAACCTTTCTTGTACCTTTAAGAATATTTAGGATAAATTATTATAGGTAATTTCTAATATATTTTATTAATTTATARTACAACTATATTTTAAGTTTAATTCAAAATGTATGTTTTCTATTAAATTAACACATAGTATAGTATACTGGTATGGAAGCCCCGCTCTCCACACATACACAAACACTCACACACTACAAGACTATGTAATACACATAGCTTCAGTGTCATCTAACTTTACACTGATCATGGGAGACGGATGACTAGGTACCTACTGCCATTATATAACTATCTCGATAAAACCCAGACTTTATTCCAGTTTCAGATAAGATAATATGACAACATAATATAACTATAGTATAAGTATAGTATTAAAATTAGTTAGTTACTAATTAGATACGTGTGTAACAAAAAATAAATATAGGGTGAGGAGGTGAAATGCATTCACCAACCACCTTAAGTAATAAATCATCTTTATTGGTTATCTATTACAATTACTTATTACAATATTATGATGTTGTTTCTTTTATTAATTAGTATTATATTACATTTTTGTATAATCTATGCTAGTATTTTGCAATGGTGGTTAAACAAGGTAGATACCCCATGAACTTTTTTTAATGATTAAAGTTGAAAACCATTAAGAATTTAGTATATAAAAATAAAAATTGTTTATAGGGTTTTGTCTTTTAGTTTAATTAAATGCCTGATTATAATTTATTTATTTTTAATTTGTCTGAGGGGAGGAATGATTTATGAAAATCTAAAAGGGGCGTTGAGTAAAAAAAAATTGGTTAATAAATATCATTATTATATTATACTACCTACTTGATAAAATTTTCAAAATATTTTGACTATTTTAATCTTTGGTTCAAATAAACCTTGTATATTGTTAYAATAGCATGATATAAATRTTRAAAATACATTGGTACAGCTTTTTTTTTAAAGTTCAWATTTTAAATTTAAAACTAAGTACCAAATAAGTAGTTAATACTGTAACCAAAAAATCTAAAAAAATATGTATATAAACATAGTTTTTAAGTTCATATTTGGACGAAATTAGATATTTAAACAAAGAATAAAGATTTTAGTACTTTCGTTGTAATTTAAAAATACTATTCCTAAGTACTTAAAACAAAGTTTTTTGTTTATTATATTTTATACACACCATGACGCTTTTTAAATGCAATTCTATAGGCAAATATTAATTTAACCTTCTTAAGTACTAATGCCTAATAATAAAAACAAATTACTTGATCATAATTATATAATAAAATATATTTAGTAATGATATAGGATACTGGAGGACAGACCATCTTCGTAAAGAATTAATTTTATATTTTTGAATTCAAATTTAACACATCTATTACACAGCGACTTTTTAGAAATTTAATTTACAGTAGGTAACCTACTTACCCGCTATTTTTATTTGAGTGAAATTTGTTAAAGAATTAAATACACATTCTCTATAAAAACAAATCTAAACTCCGACATACAGAATTTCCAAGCAATATAAACTTTGGAATTCATCATATGAGTAAACTGATAAAGATTGGTTGAATGCAAGATTAAGCATACTAATGCAATTTTTAAATCACCATTATGTGTAGTAACTTTTAATTAATTAATACCTATTACAACAATACATATAAATAATATGTTAACATGTTTAATGTTGGCAATTCATTGTGAAATCTCATTTATATTTATTGCATATCATAAACACATTTTAATTTAACCATAAAATTTATCCAAGTAATTTTGTTGATGGTTCATGATCTAATTCTTCTGTGTCCTCAAACGTGACTTTAGGAGAATTTGTCAATGGAATTTTTTTAGTTTGATCATTTGTATTCCAGACACCATCACCTGAGAAATGACAATCCTTTTCTAAATTATACAGTACTAGTGGTAATAAATATTCAGATTTGATAGATCCAGACACATCCCGTAGATAGGATACGTTCTTCATATTTTGAGTGGATACCAAAGCATCTTTAATTTTATCCCTAAAAATCCAACAAATATATTTAAAAACAATAATATACTCTTTCAAACAGTTATAATTACACTGGATACAATAAAATCTGTGAGCAATGGCATAACTGGTCYTTAGTGAAATTATTCGTTTTGAGAAATTCATAAGTTTTTCGTATTGTTAACAAAGAAATATACTGCCAATAAGGATGACGTTCTAATAATTTACGTAACTTATTTTTGTCTTCTCCCAATTCTTTTGTCAAATATATCATTATATCATTGGTTTTCCCTTTGTCATTACCATTGCAATTAAATCTGTTAAACATGACAAAATACATTTTACTGAAGATTATTAAATATTATAAAACTAGGGAGTTATAATATAAAAACAAAATTTAAATCTAATAACCTGTTAAATGAATTGTTGTTTGTGACCAATAAATTCAATGAAATACAATTTTTGCTTTGTAAGTATGTCAAACGAGAATTTACTTTTGTATAGTAATAAATGAGTCTAGCAACTTGTGGATTGTTTATAAATGATGCCAACTCTGGTGTTTCTTTTAACTTACATAATCTTTCATAAATAGTATTACTTCCTAATGTATAGATTTCTGGTGCTTTAGCCAATGAAGACTCTGGAATTCCAAAATCCTGTTACATAAAAATATTATAGTTAGAATGTTTTAAACAAAATTATTGTACAATAATAAATGAAATAATGATTTTAAATTCATGACTAATAAAAATGAATAGGTATACTATGTATTGATTTAATATRATTTTTATCCCCAAAATATTATGTTAGTTTCTGAGCTTATAAAGAATTTATTATTTACTATACCAAATAATAGATGAAATTATTTTTCTATCCTTGGACAGCAAAGATTAATATTTCTTCAGACTATTTTCAATCGCAATATACTAATTTATTTATGCAATAACAATCGACATGTCATGTACATTATTCATTCAATCATACACAAGGTATATTATTTAAGAGGACAACATTGTGATCTCATTAATTGTGATTGTCTTACTAACTTATAATACACAAAAATATATGCCCAGCAAATCCAATTTTGAGTTGTTAGCTTAAATATTAAAGTTAATTAATCTATTATCAAACTTAAAAGTAAGAACATTCATAATACTCTCAATGGGTTTTTTACAAATTTTAAATTTTAAGTGAATTATGAACATTCTTAAATATTAATATTTTACACACTTATAATTATGGTTCAATTTTAAATATTCTTTCAAAAACACATGCACTATATTCAGGATAATTAAGATAAATTTGAGAATCTTTTTATTTAAAAATAAGATTACATATTACATTAGTAAAATATGTGTATTTATATATTATATTTTTTTCCTAATATTAATAGAAATAGATTGAAAATGATAAAATAAATTAATAATGTGCAAAAAAGTTTCAAAATTAACTAAAACCTCAAAAAATACAAAGTTTGTTGTCAGCATTGTGTACTTGTAACAAGATTGTATCTTGGAAAGCTTATGTTAGAAAAAAGTGGTAATGAAATTTGAGCCATACTCATAACTTAACGAAAAGTTAAATTATCGTTAGATCCAAAAGATCCAAGAAAACACTAACAATACTAGTTATAAGTTTGATAGTAAGTCAATTCACAAAAATATTTAAACTTACCACAAAAAATTAGAATAATACTTAAGGTACATTTTGTTAAGCTATGAGTTGGTGCCAACAACATATGGGCATGATATCTTCTCCACTWATGTAATGAATTACAATACTAAAATACTTAGTTTCAAGTACCTCAAAATGTTTTCTTATTTGTCCAATTGTTTTCCATGGGGTGAGAATTATTTTGGGATGCTTACTTAAAATAAATATTGTATCCATACCACAAAGATTTTTAAAATTATCTAAAATTGCTTGTGTGTTATCAGGATCACTGTGTATTAAATAAGAATGTCTTCTAATCTGTGAAAAATGAATACTTTTTATTAAATATTAGTGATAAAAAATTAAATCTTTACCTTCTCTTCAGTAAAATTAAATTCCTTAAGTAAAATATCAATACTTCTATCCATAAGTCTGTAACTCTTATTATATAGTCTATGGTAAATAGTTTGTGCATATTTAATGTTTTCCACATCCATTTTAATTTTCCATCCAACATATAATTTGAATATATTTTTCTGAACTTGGTTCCATGAAAGAGACTCATTGCAACTCTTTGGATATAATTCTATTGGAAATTGAATATATGACAATATATTATGTCCAACATCAATATGTTTCTGGATGAACTTTTCATCTTTTAATGATTGAATAGATTTTTTAGATATAAATTTAAATCTACAATAAAAAACAAATCATATTAGTTAATATACACATTATATTAAATTTTGAACCAATAACTAATTATTTATCTTTTTAAAATAATAAGTTACTACTAAAAAGGAATTAAGTATAAAAATTGTGAAGTTTTACAATATATATATATATATCTTAAGAAATTTTGTACACACAATATTTATGAAGTTAGATGAAATATGATGTTTTATATTAAAATCTTGATTTTGCAAGGTTAAAAATACGACCATCAACAATAAAAAAAGAAATGAGATAATTAAAAACAAAGATTATCAAAAATAAATAGATATAGATTAATATTGCCCTGCTAAGAAACAATGCCGTAAATTCAAAAAAAAAAAATTGAAACGAGGTAATACTGTATTACATATAATAATATTATGATAGTTTAACACGTTTTTCTTAACTAAAATGCCTTAACTATGGTTATTTATTCAGAAACTTATTGTTAAATAAAAATAATAKTGTCGCAAATGGACTATATATAATTGATGCTTAGTAAAACCACTGTAATCATATTACTAAGAAAAATTGCAATTTTTCTTCATTCATACACAGCTAATTTACTTAGCACTTACTCATTATTTATATTTATGGAATTTTTATTTAGGAAACTAGTCACATTATTCAATATCTTATAAATCAATTTTAAATTACCTACTGATAATATTTGAGATTTAGCTGTTGTACACTGCTACACCACCTACATATTTGGTATAGTTTTCCATAATATTTTGTTGTGACTATAATACAAAGTTTTTAATTTTTTTGCTGATTTTGAAAAAAAAAATACACAAAATGAATTTGTATACAACCCAAATATCAGTGAAATGAAATTTTTACTAAAAAAATAATTGTAAATAATTAATAGCATAATTGATAACATGAATATCAAAATTAGAATATNAACCAAAGTAAATATTTAAAATACACAGTAAAAATGATTATGGGGAACCTATCTGGCTATCTATATATTAGCACATTATTACTAGTAGGTACCTATACTGGGGGCCTCAGGTATCAAATAATAACTCTTATTTACTCGAGTAATTTTACAGGYCATTTGCAAATAATTTTAGTTTAAATTTCGAATTTTTTATTTAAAAATGGATTTGGTAAAWATATTTGYTTAATATATAGCAGGTTTGTTTCTATATATAAGTATATACCTATATAAACATAGTCATGAATAGTAACTTATAATTTATAAATTATGACAGTATTCAACAATAGTTTAACAGCCAAGGCCAACTATGAATTTGAAGACTTCAAAGTGTAGTAAGTTAATTGAACTTGGTACCTAGCTACATACTTATAAAAATTAGTAGGTAGAACTACCTACAATTACTTCGAAAATCCTTATAAGCTTTCCTTTTCTGCAATTGCATTTCTTAAAATAATAAATATGGTGTATTAAAGAAGAAAGTTTTACAATAAGCTATAACCACCCTTAAYCCTTGTAATTTGAAAATATATTGGAAACTTTATTGATGGGGAGTTAACTCTGAATGTTAATAATATTTCAATATAAAATCGAAACCTTTCTTGTACCTTTAAGAATATTTAGGATAAATTATTATAGGTAATTTCTAATATATTTTATTAATTTATARTACAACTATATTTTAAGTTTAATTCAAAATGTATGTTTTCTATTAAATTAACACATAGTATAGTATACTGGTATGGAAGCCCCGCTCTCCACACATACACAAACACTCACACACTACAAGACTATGTAATACACATAGCTTCAGTGTCATCTAACTTTACACTGATCATGGGAGACGGATGACTAGGTACCTACTGCCATTATATAACTATCTCGATAAAACCCAGACTTTATTCCAGTTTCAGATAAGATAATATGACAACATAATATAACTATATAAGTATAGTATTAAAATTAGTTAGTTACTAATTAGATACGTGTGTAACAAAAAATAAATATAGGGTGAGGAGGTGAAATGCATTCACCAACCACCTTAAGTAATAAATCATCTTTATTGGTTATCTATTACAATTACTTATTACAATATTATGATGTTGTTTCTTTTATTAATTAGTATTATATTACATTTTTGTATAATCTATGCTAGTATTTTGCAATGGTGGTTAAACAAGGTAGATACCCCATGAACTTTTTTTAATGATTAAAGTTGAAAACCATTAAGAATTTAGTATATAAAAATAAAAATTGTTTATAGGGTTTTGTCTTTTAGTTTAATTAAATGCCTGATTATAATTTATTTATTTTTAATTTGTCTGAGGGGAGGAATGATTTATGAAAATCTAAAAGGGGCGTTGAGTAAAAAAAAATTGGTTAATAAATATCATTATTATATTATACTACCTACTTGATAAAATTTTCAAAATATTTTGACTATTTTAATCTTTGGTTCAAATAAACCTTGTATATTGTTAYAATAGCATGATATAAATRTTRAAAATACATTGGTACAGCTTTTTTTTTAAAGTTCAWATTTTAAATTTAAAACTAAGTACCAAATAAGTAGTTAATACTGTAACCAAAAAATCTAAAAAAATATGTATATAAACATAGTTTTTAAGTTCATATTTGGACGAAATTAGATATTTAAACAAAGAATAAAGATTTTAGTACTTTCGTTGTAATTTAAAAATACTATTCCTAAGTACTTAAAACAAAGTTTTTTGTTTATTATATTTTATACACACCATGACGCTTTTTAAATGCAATTCTATAGGCAAATATTAATTTAACCTTCTTAAGTACTAATGCCTAATAATAAAAACAAATTACTTGATCATAATTATATAATAAAATATATTTAGTAATGATATAGGATACTGGAGGACAGACCATCTTCGTAAAGAATTAATTTTATATTTTTGAATTCAAATTTAACACAGCGACTTTTTAGAAATTTAATTTACAGTAGGTAACCTACTTACCCGCTATTTTTATTTGAGTGAAATTTGTTAAAGAATTAAATACACATTCTCTATAAAAACAAATCTAAACTCCGACATACAGAATTTCCAAGCAATATAAACTTTGGAATTCATCATATGAGTAAACTGATAAAGATTGGTTGAATGCAAGATTAAGCATACTAATGCAATTTTTAAATCACCATTATGTGTAGTAACTTTTAATTAATTAATACCTATTACAACAATACATATAAATAATATGTTAACATGTTTAATGTTGGCAATTCATTGTGAAATCTCATTTATATTTATTGCATATCATAAACACATTTTAATTTAACCATAAAATTTATCCAAGTAATTTTGTTGATGGTTCATGATCTAATTCTTCTGTGTCCTCAAACGTGACTTTAGGAGAATTTGTCAATGGAATTTTTTTAGTTTGATCATTTGTATTCCAGACACCATCACCTGAGAAATGACAATCCTTTTCTAAATTATACAGTACTAGTGGTAATAAATATTCAGATTTGATAGATCCAGACACATCCCGTAGATAGGATACGTTCTTCATATTTTGAGTGGATACCAAAGCATCTTTAATTTTATCCCTAAAAATCCAACAAATATATTTAAAAACAATAATATACTCTTTCAAACAGTTATAATTACACTGGATACAATAAAATCTGTGAGCAATGGCATAACTGGTCYTTAGTGAAATTATTCGTTTTGAGAAATTCATAAGTTTTTCGTATTGTTAACAAAGAAATATACTGCCAATAAGGATGACGTTCTAATAATTTACGTAACTTATTTTTGTCTTCTCCCAATTCTTTTGTCAAATATATCATTATATCATTGGTTTTCCCTTTGTCATTACCATTGCAATTAAATCTGTTAAACATGACAAAATACATTTTACTGAAGATTATTAAATATTATAAAACTAGGGAGTTATAATATAAAAACAAAATTTAAATCTAATAACCTGTTAAATGAATTGTTGTTTGTGACCAATAAATTCAATGAAATACAATTTTTGCTTTGTAAGTATGTCAAACGAGAATTTACTTTTGTATAGTAATAAATGAGTCTAGCAACTTGTGGATTGTTTATAAATGATGCCAACTCTGGTGTTTCTTTTAACTTACATAATCTTTCATAAATAGTATTACTTCCTAATGTATAGATTTCTGGTGCTTTAGCCAATGAAGACTCTGGAATTCCAAAATCCTGTTACATAAAAATATTATAGTTAGAATGTTTTAAACAAAATTATTGTACAATAATAAATGAAATAATGATTTTAAATTCATGACTAATAAAAATGAATAGGTATACTATGTATTGATTTAATATRATTTTTATCCCCAAAATATTATGTTAGTTTCTGAGCTTATAAAGAATTTATTATTTACTATACCAAATAATAGATGAAATTATTTTTCTATCCTTGGACAGCAAAGATTAATATTTCTTCAGACTATTTTCAATCGCAATATACTAATTTATTTATGCAATAACAATCGACATGTCATGTACATTATTCATTCAATCATACACAAGGTATATTATTTAAGAGGACAACATTGTGATCTCATTAATTGTGATTGTCTTACTAACTTATAATACACCAAAATATATGCCCAGCAGTTCCAATTTTGAGTTGTTAGCTTAAATATTAAAGTTAATTAATCTATTATCAAACTTAAAAGTAAGAACATTCATAATACTCTCAATGGGTTTTTTACAAATTTTAAATTTTAAGTGAATTATGAACATTCTTAAATATTAATATTTTACACACTTATAATTATGGTTCAGTTTTAAATATTCTTTCAAAAACACATGCACTATATTCAGGATAATTAAGATAAATTTGAGAATCTTTTTATTTAAAAATAAGATTACATATTACATTAGTAAAATATGTGTATTTATATATTATATTTTTTTCCTAATATTAATAGAAATAGATTGAAAATGATAAAATAAATTAATAATGTGCAAAAAAGTTTCAAAATTAACTAAAACCTCAAAAAATACAAAGTTTGTTGTCAGCATTGTGTACTTGTAACAAGATTGTATCTTGGAAAGCTTATGTTAGAAAAAAGTGGTAATGAAATTTGAGCCATACTCATAACTTAACGAAAAGTTAAATTATCGTTAGATCCAAAAGATCCAAGAAAACACTAACAATACTAGTTATAAGTTTGATAGTAAGTCAATTCACAAAAATATTTAAACTTACCACAAAAAATTAGAATAATACTTAAGGTACATTTTGTTAAGCTATGAGTTGGTGCCAACAACATATGGGCATGATATCTTCTCCACTWATGTAATGAATTACAATACTAAAATACTTAGTTTCAAGTACCTCAAAATGTTTTCTTATTTGTCCAATTGTTTTCCATGGGGTGAGAATTATTTTGGGATGCTTACTTAAAATAAATATTGTATCCATACCACAAAGATTTTTAAAATTATCTAAAATTGCTTGTGTGTTATCAGGATCACTGTGTATTAAATAAGAATGTCTTCTAATCTGTGAAAAATGAATACTTTTTATTAAATATTAGTGATAAAAAATTAAATCTTTACCTTCTCTTCAGTAAAATTAAATTCCTTAAGTAAAATATCAATACTTCTATCCATAAGTCTGTAACTCTTATTATATAGTCTATGGTAAATAGTTTGTGCATATTTAATGTTTTCCACATCCATTTTAATTTTCCATCCAACATATAATTTGAATATATTTTTCTGAACTTGGTTCCATGAAAGAGACTCATTGCAACTCTTTGGATATAATTCTATTGGAAATTGAATATATGACAATATATTATGTCCAACATCAATATGTTTCTGGATGAACTTTTCATCTTTTAATGATTGAATAGATTTTTTAGATATAAATTTAAATCTACAATAAAAAACAAATCATATTAGTTAATATACACATTATATTAAATTTTGAACCAATAACTAATTATTTATCTTTTTAAAATAATAAGTTACTACTAAAAAGGAATTAAGTATAAAAATTGTGAAGTTTTACAATATATATATATATATCTTAAGAAATTTTGTACACACAATATTTATGAAGTTAGATGAAATATGATGTTTTATATTAAAATCTTGATTTTGCAAGGTTAAAAATACGACCATCAACAATAAAAAAAGAAATGAGATAATTAAAAACAAAGATTATCAAAAATAAATAGATATAGATTAATATTGCCCTGCTAAGAAACAATGCCGTAAATTCAAAAAAAAATTGAAACGAGGTAATACTGTATTACATATAATAATATTATGATAGTTTAACACGTTTTTCTTAACTAAAATGCCTTAACTATGGTTATTTATTCAGAAACTTATTGTTAAATAAAAATAATAKTGTCGCAAATGGACTATATATAATTGATGCTTAGTAAAACCACTGAAATCATATTACTAAGAAAAATTGCAATTTTTCTTCATTCATACACAGCTAATTTACTTAGCACTTACTCATTATTTATATTTATGGAATTTTTATTTAGGAAACTAGTCACATTATTCAATATCTTATAAATCAATTTTAAATTACCTACTGATAATATTTGAGATTTAGCTGTTGTACACTGCTACACCACCTACATATTTGGTATAGTTTTCCATAATATTTTGTTGTGACTATAATACAAAGTTTTTAATTTTTTTGCTGATTTTGAAAAAAAAAATACACAAAATGAATTTGTATACAACCCAAATATCAGTGAAATGAAATTTTTACTAAAAAAATAATTGTAAATAATTAATAGCATAATTGATAACATGAATATCAAAATTAGAATATGTTAGTGAAATAAAAGTTGAAAATAAATTGAACAATTTTATTTCATTCATCAGGCATTTAAAAAAATGAACTAAATATTTATGAAAATATAACTACCAATAATTACAAAATAYAAAAATGAATTTTACTCAAAATGGCACAAAAGAAACTTACTGCATTCTTCATTAGCAGGACAGAATACCTATTGTGTGTGATTAAAAATGCATACACGTGGTATACTACCTTAATATTGTTTTCGAATCAATTTTACTTTTAATAAAACCTCCTTCTTCTAAAAGCATAATATAATTTTTAATAGTGATTGAATGTAGTGTTAATATTTGAATTTTTTTGATAATATCATCTTTGGAAAACCCAAAACTCTAAAACAAGTTACACAAAGTAATGAATGATCACAATCAAATATTTATTAATTTTTGGATATTGAAAATAATAATTTATAAACATTCACAAAATTAATATMAATAAAAAATATCTACGAGAATTCAATTTGATACAAAATTGTAAAGTACCTTACTCCTTTTTAACTAAAAAACAAATTAACTTCATAAAAAAAAATGTTTATAAATTATCTTATTTATTTAGTTAATATAATTCCATGACCAATGGGTAATGAAAAATATATTTGATTAACTAATGGATATAAAATTTTAGTAACAATCTCTTCAAATATACTGTTTTCTATTGCAAATAAATATACCCTTAATAATGCGAAGTTATCCGACAGTGAAGAATAACTATTGTTGCAAAATGAAGGATACTTTTTAAAAATTCTCTGGACTTCATTTTCGTGTAAACCTAAAAATTAAAACAATAACAATAATTAATATTATAATCAGTACATTTTATTTAAAAATAAAACAATAGTACAGATTTTTTTTAAAACAAAACATGGTATTTGTCTTTTAAAAGATCCCCAGTTATATTATGTAAATATTTAAATGAGATAAAAGCTAAATTATAAATAAGAAGTCGTTCCAGCATGTGTTGTCTATCTTACAAACACATAATAATAAAATATCATAAATCACAAAAATTACATCAATTAAGTTTTTACATTTAAATTTGATAATAGGTTAATTATTTTATATATTATACATTAGTAAAACAGAGGCAGTGTACATGGGTACAACTTCCTCTTAATTGTTCTATCAGAGGATCAAACCTAGTAATCAACAATTAATTTCTAAGGTTCTAAGTTATTTTGGATCTACACAGAGAAAAATGAAAAAAAATTCAGCATTAAAGTAAAATATATTTGGTGGTGAATTATTTATTTTCCCTCTGTGGTTAGCATCCAGATCGCGGACTCCCAATTGCCAATTTACCTCTATTCTAACCCAAAAGCAACAAGTTATCAATGTTACAGTAAATATGTTGAAAAATAAATACCTAAATTTTGTTGAAAAAATCTTACTACATCATTTTTTGCATTGAATGTTGCACAATAACAACATTTTTGATAAACATTTTGCAGAAAACAGATTTTGTTCAAATTAAATTTTACAACTTTGTGGAGCATTGTAAAATATTCTTAAAAGATCCAACTTGAATTACTAATTTGCAACTGTAAATAAAGAGACAATAATAAAATTTATAATATACTCCTGTTTAATTAAATATTGTGAATAGGTACCTAGTTGAATATAATGTTAATACTTATAATATTATTTATTTCTAAGGTATACCTTATTATTATTTTAAAAATCTTTCCGATATAACTAAACACTTTGAGTTTTGCTTTTATTAATTACTGGTTTATAGTCAATCATTTATTGAAATCAGAAAAGATAACCCAAACCAGATCATATGTTACAAGTATTAAATTTACCTATTATTAGAATCATTATGTACCTACCAGATAATTGAATCACTTTTTTGTGTAATACACAAATAAATTTTTTTATTGATTTTATAAATAATAATATTAAAAGACCAAGAGCTAAAATGAGTATTAGTTACCTATTGTATTTCTGAACATATCAGTATATCAAATATACATAAATATCAATATACATCCTATTATTTAGTATAATTTGTTCTAATTATTGTAGCTTCTTTTCAATATTTTTTCTTACACTACATTGAGCAAATGGAAAGATTTATAAAGAAAAAAAGGTTTACATTATGAATAATTAGAAAGAATATTCACAAAGAGAAGTCACATTTATTTATTTTTTTTTTTAAACTAACAAACAACATTTTAAAAACAATTATTGGACTCTTTTCCAAAAATAGAAACTAAAAATTACGTAAACTATATGGGTTTTAATTTTAGTTGTTATGAAAGTCGAATAACAAGTCGCTCAAGTCCAATCTGAAATAAAATTGATAGTTTATTTCCTTATTATTGCGAATGTAWTTTTTGTGTTATTTTAATTTTATTTAAAGTTGCAAAAGAATATAGACTTTAAAAAAATGTTTATTGGAACCAATTGATATCAAAATTACATACAATCAATAAGATCACATAAAATGGAACTCACTATATTTAATAATTAATATTAGTAGTTTATAAATATTACATATAGGTACACACTAAGACATTGTCCATTTATCGAGATAAAATTGGAGCAATAAATGCCATTAAAGGATAAMAAAAWTCAGGTTGAAATACACTGGAAYACCTATCTTTTTGTCAAGAATTTATCATTTTGACCATTGAGAGATGTCAATAACTTAAAGTTTCACTAAAATGAATTAGCCATAGATTTTGAGTTTATTAAACATTTTAATAACTCATATATATATTCTCGAAGAAAAGTATATAGAATTTCAAAAATTCTTTAATCATTTTTTAATTTTAGTTTTAAATTAATAAATAAATTAAATAACTTGAACGATCAACTACTCGCTAAACAATTCAATATACTTACAACAACGAATTCCAATAACTATATTTGATGTGGAATTGTAAAATGGAAATACTATCTACTGATTATAGTGAAGAACTTTGAGCGTGTGAATATAAAATTCACCATTATCTTTTATGAGTATTAAATTTTAAAATCATGCACTYAAGATAATAAGCAAGATGATGCACACCATTCACAAGTACATTAAATAGTTGTGATCAATASAATAAAGTTAAAACACAATTAATAATAATACTACCTAATTAATAGTATGTCAGCGACAAAACGGTCTAACAAATGCTTAAGTCCGACTTCTATTTACTTATGTAAGAATAGTAATGAAATCGGTATCATGTATTCCTGTTGTACGTCTGAATAGTAAATAGCTTACTGATATCATATTCATTACATTATTGTTATCATTAGGCGTGTTTTCACGGACGTAACGAAAGGAAACGTTTTGTTGACTGTTCACTGATACCAGCTGATACGGTCGATACTATAAAAATATTAAATTATAATATTATATTATAATAGAAATATAGAATAGAATATTATTATGAAGCTATTGTTCATAGCATAGACATATTTTTACCCATGACAAAATAGATTTTGTCATGATTTTGTAAATAGAACGCCAGACTGAGCAACATGGGCTTCCCTGCCAAGATAAGGTACTTGCCCTCCCAGTAATTTTAAATTTGTTTCCTAATATCCCAATGCATTATATGTAACGCGCCAATTTAGTAAACATAGATTACTTTTAAAATGTATAAAAACAAATCATTATTAGTGACTATTACGGTTTTGCCCAAATGAGGTTGGTCATAACTATGTTTGCCTGGTCAAAAGTCAAAACCCGAAATATGACATTTTTCTCAAGGATTGTGGCCAGTTCACGTTTTGCCCGGACATTTCTAAGGTTTGTCCGGTTTCGACTTTGCTCGTAGTATATACAACATACAACAATTAGATAATTGTCTTTATATTATTTTTATACTGAATATTGAATCTTGCAGTCAGCCAAAATGTATAAAGCAATCAAAGTTTACATTAATTATTCATATACGGAAACATAATATATTATATTTATACATAGGTATTAGATATACATGTAATTTTTTATTAATCATAAAAAACGAAGAGAATTAGTTGACTTTTGATAATATATTAACACAGCGTTTCTTAAACTTTTTTATCCGTGGAACCCTTTTTGATGTCCACCTTTATCGTTGAACCCCTACTTTTTTTTACCTTTTTACCTTTTTTTAGGATTATTTGCAAAATTTATTATAACATTAAGTAGGAGTATAGATTATAAAATATAGAGTTAGCTGATAGATTATTCCATATGACTTATACATTATTATTTAATATATAAGTAATTTTCTTGAACATTTTTAAAAAATAATTCAAGCTTTGAGGAACCCTGAAGTAATCTACGCGGAACCTCAGTGTTCCGTGGAACACAGTTTAAGAAACACTGTTATAGACTATAATGTATTAAAATTGGTATATTTTACTTATACATATATGCTCCAAAATGTGTAACCATACATTTACAAGACTCAAGTTAACATCTTCAAACAAATATTTTACGTAACACACCTAGTTGATATTGTTATTAACAATATATAAAGTCAGTCATATAATCAATAAGTAGTAAGTACCTAATCACTATCAATATTATCTTTAATAAAGTAAGAAAATTATAGTAACAACAAAGTGGTACATTAGTACAAATGCACAATAATATAGTATAAGATAGAGTATGAACTATGAGTATATTATGTCCACCATTCATCTCGTAAAAATTATATTGATTATAATATAGTAAATGTGGTAACCGTAGATATAAGTGAATTATAAAAATTTTTGTGAGTTATAATGCCATTTCTTGTATTAAAAAACAAATAATGCATAAGTTATCTTTATTTTTAAAATCATTATTTGATTAAATTTCTTTTGGAGATATGTGTGAATCTTAATTCTTAAAATTGTTTTCATTATTTATAAACATTTTCAATTTCTTAATCCTTTTAGATTCTAGTTTTTTCCCAAAATATTTCATACGAAACTAAAAATAAAAACAAGATATATTTTGTAAAGCAATTAAAGTAACATAATGTATCAGTACATAAATTTTATAGCTCATAATATTTTTCGTTTCCTTATAAAAATAAGAATTATTCATTTGATTTATGTATCTCCATAACAACTTATAAAATAGCCAATAGTCAATAGTGAGTAGATTATATTTGAAAATATTAATAAAA